CTGAGGCCGAATATTCCAGGATTGGTCTTACGTATGTGGTATATAAGATTCTGAATGATTCCTTGCACAGGTTCCTGAAGGCAGTTCTGATGTTAGCCAGTCTTGCATACACCACAGATATTATTCTTCTGATGTGGGCTTCAGGAGACAGGTTTGGTATGATATTAACTCCTAAATTTCTCTAGGAGTTAATATCTTTTTTGATCTTTTTGAGGAGTGATCTTTTTTGTTTTGGTAGGGACGCGCGAGTCTTACTTTTCCTAACTTCCCTCTAGGAGGGAAGTAGCATTGTCTGCTGGCATTTCATTACATTCAATGATGGTTTTCTGGTGGGAGCCCATCGGCTCCTTGGAGCTAACTACCAAAAGACAAGGAAAAACAGGGACTCGCCCAGACAGCGGTCAGTCCTCAATCCTCAACGAGAAGCCGAGACAACTGACTGCAACCACCAACCCAACGCAATGAAGGCCCTACGAGGTCCAAGGACATTGACAAGGTAGCGAGTGGCCAGGACCCTGTTTGACCTCCAAAACCCCCGTGCCCGAATGTCAACCCACGACACATTGCCAAAGCAGCAAACTTGTGCATGTCGTGGGAACGAGGATAGGCCGCAGTCTGGCTAGCCTTGATAATCCTGCGGATGACCTGAGAGACCCGTGCCCGGGAACAGGGAAGAAGGGAAACCGGATCAACCCACAGCATATCCCCGGCCACCAAAGCCGTGGCGCGCAAATAATGGCGGAGAGCTGCAACCGGACACAAGACTTGATGCACCCCCTGCCTGACCAACTAAGCATCAACAACCCAAGGACCCCTCTGGACAGCAGCAGTCTCATTCTTCACAAGAAAAGGAAACGGCTGCAACTGAACAAACCTACCACCAGGACCAAAAAAACAGAAATCCCTGTGCCGAAGGAGAGCATGAAGCTCACCGACCCGACCCCCAGAGGCCAATGCCAACAGGAAAAGAGAGCCTTGGAAAAACAATCCTAAACCCAAGGGGACACCACAAACCAAGGAGAAGAGAGAAAAGAGAGCACCTGGTCCAAGGACAAGGAGGGCGCAGGCAACACATGAGCAGGCCGGAGGTGAAACAACGCACAAGACAACTTGCAGAATGGAGCAGACGTAAACACAACTAAGCCACCTGCACCCCATACAAATGATGATAGATTTGAGTCAGATAGACCAGACACGAAGACTCGAAGAGAAGAGCTAACCAGCCTCATAATGCGCAGGGCCAATCTCCTGAAAGAGGCGGAGCCGCAGGAAGACCCTTGGCTTCGGACACAGAGCAAGCAGTGCCTGAAACAAAGGCTGAGCTGTCCACCACTGGGCCAAGAGGACAATTCTCCCCTGCGAAGTCTCCAAGCAAGCCAGGACTTGGAGCAACAGCTGAACCAGGGGAAAGAGATACAGGTAACCCCACCTCGCCCAGTCCTGTCTGCCTGAATGAGATTGCTGCAACAACCATGCTGACGTCCTCGCACGCGGGGAAGGGCACCACATATACCGGGAGACACCTCGACCATGCCGACTTCATTCCTCCACTTTCGGAGGCCCAAACGTCTGGCAGAGCCAACGGTACGAGTCGGCGTCGACCATCCATTCCACAGATGGGGGAAATTAACCAGGACAGGCCGTCCGCCAGGACATTAGACACCCCCCAAACATGAACCGCCATAAGAGCCAAACCCCGAAAAATCGGCAGTCACCAATCCCAAAGAGCCAAGGACCGCTTAGAACACCCGCGGTTCAGGCAACGAACCACAGGGGAACTGTCCGAACGAAGCCAGACCGTCGATCCGTGAGACCCCAGAATCCTCCGGAGCAATATCCACACAGCCGCAAACTCCCGCACCGTGCTTTGAGCCCGACGGAGGGACGGAACCCACTGCCCCTGGCCAGCCTGGTGAGCACTGGTCACAAAACCCCAGCCAAGAGATGACGCGTCTGTGAACACATTGTGCGAGGGCTCAGGAAAGTGCCAAGGCACTGAACCCCGTAAAACCCTTAGAGGAAGCCGGCGACGCAGCAAAGTTCTGCATAATTCTCAGCCATGGATTCGCATAGAAGAGGGAAAGGGGATGCCACAGAACAATCTCTGAAGACTACTGAAAACTGAGAAGCACACACAGTAAAAATAACCTAGCAAGAGGTTCACATAAGCAAAACACCAGCGTTGAATATAATGAAATGCCATTTTCTGGGTGAGCCCCAGAGGCTCCCTGAAGTTGTCCGAACTGATGTGTGTTATATTAGTTTAGGGGTCATCAGTTACAGGAGTCTTTTTGCCTATCGGGGACCACAAGCCAGAATCTGGCCCCCTCAGAGAGGCGCAGGGAAAAATTGCTTATGAGCACTTTACATTTAAAGTATGTCTTAAATGCCATTAATCAGGGAAGGACCCAGGAAGGTAGGTGAATTGAAACAGACCACTGTCTGGTTAACCTGTACAACCTACATCCTAAAAGGTCAAAATAACTCTCCTAGAAAGAAACCAAGCAAGCAACACTTCATGCAACTAGCACCTGCCTCCCCCCCCCCCTGAAGGAGGAGAGGGGAAGCTGGCAACCCACCACCCCAGTTCTAGAACGATGAAAACCATTTGGGGCATTCTGGAATCACTCCCATTCGAGGATTTTTTCACTTTATGTTGTCTTCACCCTTGGGGTATGTTGGGGGTCTTGGTCTTTCTGTTTTGCCCTGGGTAGGGAGTTATTCCCTGGGTGGGGCGCACTGCAGCTGGCGCAGCTTGCACACACAGCAGCCGACAATTATCTCTGGCTGCCAGTTTGTTGTGCGTCTTCGGGGGTTGTTTTTATTTTCTATGGTTTGTGCTTTTTTGTTAATGGAAGTGGTCTGCTTAGCTTTTTATTAGGCAAGCCTAGGTTGTGTTGTAGTCCACATCTGTTGCCCCCAAAGTTTCATGGCTACTACTGGTGGTCAGTTTGCTTGCTAACAAAGACAGGATTCTACCAACTTAGCTGGCCCCCCAGTGCCTAGGGTTCCCGTAGGGCTTACTCACCCAATGAGCCCTGGAAACTCCAGTGGACTCGGAGTACCATGGATGCAACTTCCAAGACCTCTCTTGCCTTGTGCGAAGTTAAAGGGTGTTCATCGCCCCTGCCTCAGGAAGATGATCATTTGTACTGCCCGTCATGCTGCTTGTTGGGTCGTGGACACCTACGACCCAGAGTCCTGCAGGACTTGTTTCCCACTTGTACTTTTAAATTACTCATTTCTTGTCTGTCGATCTCAGGGATCAGATAGCAGCTGCGCTGCATGCTCAAATCTCCTTCATGCAACAAGCAAGGTTGGTTGCTCAGTTAGAGACCCAGCCCTAGAACTGCCCCATTTTGGTTTTAGGGACCAGGATTTGGGATTGTGGTTTGCCTGCAGGGGTTTGCCTCTGCTGCCTTCCCAGGTAGGCATGGTTTCGCTCTGGATGAGGCTCGGATGGCTTCGGGGATGGCCCCTTCCGATTTGGGAGCGGAGGTGCTTGAGCCCACTTTCCCACTGGGGCTTCTGGGTCAACCAAGCAGACTACCTTCTTGTAAGCCTTTTCCCTGCATTCTGCCTTTTCTTCAGGAGTGGTAGGCAAGGATGAGGGCTCTGTCCCAGGGCCTTTATTGAGAGTTCCCAGGGCTAGGGTTGAGTCCACTTGGAGTTCTTGGGTCCCCTTTGACCCTGCCCCCACAAGACCCTTAGTTCCTTAGAGGACCTCACAGTCCCCGATAGGCAAAAGGACTCCTGTGACTGATGACCACAAACTAATATAGCACATATCAGTTCGGTTAGCTTCAGGGAGCCAATGGCGCTCCCACAGAAAAACAGGCTGCTGCACAACCACTAAGAGAAGCAAATGAGGAAACCAAGCAGCACTTCCCCACAAAATGGAAGCAAGATGCCAGCTGAAAATGGTAATGGCAAGATAGGAACATTGTTTTGATGGCACAGACCAGGATCAAGCAATACAGAACTCACAATGTACCAAAATGTAATTCTTGCCAGTCAACGAGGAACCCATCCAACCCTAAAAACCGATTGGCAAGATGCCCAAACCACCAGTCATTGAGACAGGCAAAGACTTGGGACCCCAAAAGAATACACACACACACACACACACAACAACCTGTTTAAGACGAGAATATTTCAGGTCCTCCACACAAAAAAATAAACAGCCCCAAATTATGGTAAGACAGTTTTATTTACCAATGTCTGATGTAACCATACTACTCATTCAACACGACATGGCTTTAATGTATAAATAATATATTTTAACCCAATGAAAAAGCTTGAGTACCGAGAGTTCAGACCATACTCCCATTCAAGAAAAGCACGCTCATTATACATGCCCTCACCAACTCATCCTTCTGTTTAGATTGTGACGGTCGTCAATAGTCATGAATTTGTACCTACTTAGCTTTTATATAGAATTCCTTAATAGTTAGTATACTAATTTTAAAATATAAGAAAAAAAAAAAAAAAAAAATTAAATATCACTAGGCCTAGTATAGCACACACTCGTACTATATTAGGCATCAGATATCATGAATTAGGCCTAGGAAGGTTAGGTTAGTTTAGTTTGTAAAAGCAACACAAGTAAACAAAAAATTTTCTGGTTTGTCAGTCAATAGTTCATATTTCTACTTTCTAATTGTGTTGTACGCCAGAATATATATACTATGGTCCTCGACATTACTATAAGTACTACCAAAACAGGAGGATTGGCTGCCCTCACAGTAGGCATGGATGACTCAAAAAATTTAAAACCAAATTTGTTTATGCAATTTATAGTACTGCACTGAACAAGCACAGTAAACAATTTAAAAATAATTACTTTGATATTTACAAATAAAGAGCACATATAATAATACTATAATGGAATCAGTGCAATTTTTCTTGTGTGTATTCCCTGCTATAAATTGCAGTAAGATAACTATAAGGAATCATCCCCTTACAACTGTATATTAAAATTCAATCATCTGCCCACTTACCAATGATCTCGATATCATCATCTATCTCCTCTTTCTTTTCTTCGTGTGGCCAAGTTTTGTTTGACATTCCTTTAACATAATTTTCAGACTTTAAGATTTCAATGTAGGTTTTGGACGGACATGTCTGCTTTCCAGATAAATAATTGTCTAAAATTAATTGCTGCTCTTCGGTGAGATGCTTTCTGTTAACTGGAGCTAGCCGCATGACCTCTTTCACCTGCAAATATTAATATTATAGTTGCTCTCAGTCTTGAAATTTGGAAACATTTGTAAACGTTTGTAGTAAATACAATTTGGTTTGCAATATGAAAATACAATCAAACTTAAATAATGCATACTTAAGACAAACACTTGCGCAATAAACTGACAAGCAGCAATAGTTAAATGGGAAACCATTTCTCAGCTGAGCTGAACACTCAACAGATGAGACTTTAATGTTCGGGACATTTATGGAATAAAAATAAGAAAGCCATATATGTTTGGATCATGATATCACTAAGTAAAATCAGAAGGCAGTTCAAGAATGGTTTAATAATAGTACAGGTCAAAAGAACAAGGGTACAGTACAGAGAACTACACACTGGTAGTCCAAAAGAACTAAGGTCCCGGTAGTAGTTGGGTTCATTCTTTATGGGCAATCGAGAGTTCCAGGCTGGGCCAGACAGAAATGGATGGAAACATTTCCTTTCACCTAGCAGTAAGTAGATACCCAGGAGTTAGCCAGGTTGTTGCATCCTGAGCTGGGTCAGTTGGCGAGTTGCCCAACACCACCGCAGGCCGGATGACACGACCGAAAAGGCCCACAAATCTTGGGGCCAAGCGTGGGAAAACATAGTGAGCCTATCCCCCATCGCCCCGTCAACGGGGCGAACCACAAAAGGGCCGACGCCCTTTACAAAAACCCAAATGTCGAACAGGGCAATCACCGCGCCGACCAGACAACACTGGCCCCAAAGGGAACAACAGCTCAGAAACTGGCACCAATGTCCCACCTCGACCAGCGGAACCCGGAACCCTGGCAAGACCCCTCCGAAACTGCCGAGAACGACTGCTCCGGAGAATCAACAAGTCCGCCGTAGGACAACAACTAGACGAAGCCACTTGCAGAAACTGAGACCGTAGTCTCTGCAAACAGCAATGGACAAAACGGAGAAAAGAACCTCATAGCCAGGGCCTAACCGGATTCCAAAGAGAGGGCGAGCACAGCCTGATGGCATGCGAGGCGAGAAGCAAAAAAAACAGACACCGTTTCCTTCAGGATGGGCGCAAAAAGCTTCAACAGTCCCGCCGACGCCCTAGCTGCTGAAGTCAGACGCCCTTCACTCAACGCTCCCACATCCTCCTCAAGCCAGGCAGAAGACAGCTCGAGAAGGGAAAAGAAACGTAAGACCAAAGCCAAATGCCCACGGGCACGCAAATCCTCCGCATCTAACGAAGCCGAAAGAAGAAGAACCTGCACGTGAAGCTGGAAAAGGCCAACATTCCGAGATAGCATGGGAGCGAACAAGCACGCATTAAGGTGCTCAAATTCGCCCCCCAGGTAAACCTGCATAAGAGAAGAAGTTTCATACCAATTAAACGTGCGGGTCCGACAGAACCCATGCCACGCCCCCAACGAAAAGAAGAGGGCAGTCTGCCAGCAAGAAAGACTCCGGAACCTCCAAATGCACCCAAAAACGGGAAGAAGAACCTAATTCAAACGAGGACGAATCCATCGCAGAGGCATAACCCGGATCTCGCAAGAGGTATGCAGCAAGAGCTTCCCGAGCCACCTTCGCGGAGATACAGGAAGTAGAAAACCTCTGGAAAGACGGAGCCGAGGTACCCAAAGGAGCCCGGAACCAAACCCAAATCATATTCATACAGGGAAGGGGGTAAGAAACCCCCCCCCCTGCAACAATAAACCCCGCGAGGAAGGCAAAAGCACCCAAGCAGGGTCAAAGGGAGCCCAAGGCCCCCAGGTTGACTCCTCCCCAGCCCCAGGATCCCCCACGTCGGGACCCGAGGCAGAGCCGTCCTCCAAACCCTCTACCCCGGAAGAAAAGGCAGACAAGAAGGGGGTTTGCTAGTAGGACCCAGAAGCCTCGGCAGGAGGAACCGGCTCAAATGCCTCTATCCCTGACCCGGATGGGGCATCCCCTGAGGCAGCCCGAGTCACATTACCAACTAAACCCTGTGCCGAGACCGAAACCCTCAGACGTTTTGAAGCCGGACACGGGGGGCAGGTGCAGGATGAACCACAGGGGAAGGACCAGGGAGCGCGGAAGGAGCCAAAGCCGAAGTGACTAACGCCCCAGGTCAGGGTTACCAAAACGGGGCAGCCTCGGGGCATCCGGGTGGGAAACCAACCTAGCGCGTTGCAGTAACCTAAACCTAACATGTAACGCTAATGTTGCCTGTACCCTAACAGGAACATCCTCAGAGTAAAACTGGAGCACAAGCAGAGAACACGACTCGCAAGACTCCGGGTCAAAGGTGTCAATGACCCAACAGGCAGCATAACGGAGGCAAAACAGGTGACTGTCACCCTGAGACAAAGGCTCACAGCAACCTTCAAACCCGCACAAGGCAGGCTGGAACTCTGGAGACGCATCCATGGGTCCACCGAGACCCGACAGGGGTTTCCAGGGCCCGTAGGTTAGCAACTACGGGAAGCCCGGGCAAGGTGTTGCTAACCGGTTAAGAAACCCAAACAAAACAAGGGGTAGATGATAACACTGAAACTCCTGGGATGTGTACAAGCACGGGGGGCTAGCAGAGGGCCACCAAAACAATATCAGGGGAACTATAGACCCACGAGGCAGAACCTCCACCAAGCAAACAAAAACAAAAAAGAAAAACCCAGAAGTACACTGTCCCCAGAGGCAACAGGAACCGGTCTCTGCTTAGGTGGCAGGTCGCGCAACACCTTGATGCCCTAACCAGCACAACACCACTCCCTACCCAAGACCAAACAAGGGCCCCAAGCCCCAGCTGGCCCCAAGGGCGAGGCAAATGCCGAGCAGCAAGAACCTCTACTGGAGCGGTTCCCGAACGCCCCAGGGAAGATAACCCTGACACGCAGGGGCAATACTCACAGCGCGCCTAGGGAAGGAAGCCCCTAAGCGCATGCAGCCCCGGCACTGATGAGGTACTCCTGGCCACCGCACACCACACAAGGCAAACACCGCCCAGGAATTTGAGGCCAGAGAAGCGTCTATCCCGGTTGACACTAGATTACGAACTGAAGGCAGCCAGCGCGGTGAGGTCCAGGGCCCCCCTCCCCCTCTCTCCAATGGATGTGACCCGGAGGGGACCCAGGGGGTCACATCCATTGGACCACAGAGCCCCTGTGTGATTCCCAGGGCCCTTAGTCATGTTATCTCGCTAAGGGAAGCCCAGGCAGGGTACTGATAACCAGTGCCCAAAACTACCAAGCAAACTGCTAAAGTTGAACTCCTGGGACGTGTACACTTGCGGGGCCTAGCGGAGGACCACCAAATTACAAAAGGGTGCGACCAATCAAGGGAACATCATCCCCCCACCAGGCAGGAAAACAAAAAGGAAAATAAAACCCTGTAAGAGGACAACGTACCCAAGCAGAACACAGCTGGCTGCTACGAGAGGTGATAACTAGCTGCACAGTACCCTGCGCCCCAACCAGTGACAAAAACTATCCCCCCTACCCAGAGGTAGGCAAAGGAGCACGAAAACTCCAATGAATGACACTAAAGCTGGCCCCGGCTGAAACAGCAGAGATAGCGCCACTCCATAAAGGAGGAAATAAGGCAGAGGCAAAAAAAGTCCACACTGATAGTAATAACATCACACATCATAAAAATCTTTGAGAGTGTAAGAAGTAAGATCACAAAATACATGGAATCACAGCATCTCCATAACCCCGGACACCATGGTTTCAGAACAGGGCGCTCTTGCATATCACAGTTGCTGGACCACTATAACATGGCACCAGATGCCATGGAAGATAAACAAAATGGTGATGTAATTTACACAGATTTTGCAAAAGCTTTTGACAAATGTGACCACAGTGTTATTGCACATAAAATGCATTCAAAAGGAATTACCAGAAAAAAGGCAGATGGATCTACAATTACCTGACTAACAGAACCCAATGTGTAATAGTCAACAAAATAAAATCCGGACCATCAACTGTAAAGAGCTCAGTTCCCCAGGGTACTGTGCTTGCTCCAGTACTTTTTCTCATCCTCATATTGGACATAGACAAGGACACAACCTATAGTACTGTATCATCCTTTGCAGACGACACTAGGATTATATCAGATGTAAATCAGGTCTTTCTATGGGCGACAGAAAATAATATGGTGTTTAACGAAGATAAGTTTCAGCTCATGCGCTACGGAAAAAATGAAAATATAAAAACGGAAACCACGTACAAAATGCAGTCAAATCATAACAGAACGGAAAGGCAATGTAAAGGATTTGGGTGTACTGATGTCAGAAGACCTTACATTTAAGAACACAATAAAGTAGTCGTCACAACTGCAAGAAAAATATGACAGGTTGGATAACAATAACCTTTCACACTAGAGATGCTATACTGATGATACTTTTCAAAACGCTTGTGCTCTCTAGAGTGGAGTACTGCTGCACAATGACAGCCCCTTTCAAAGCTAGAGAAATTGCTGACCTGGAGAGCGTGCAGAGAACCTTTACTGCTAGAATCCACTCAGTAAAACATCTAATCGACTAAGGGACCGACTAGGAGCCTAAACCTGTATTCTCTTGAGTGCAGGCGGGAGAAATACATAATAATTTACACGTGGAAAAGAGTAGAGGGGCTGGTCCCAAACCTGCACACAGAATTAAGAACATGCCTTCTGGTCTGCACATGAGACCAGAAGGCATGGCAGGATGTGCAGAATACCCCCGTTGAAGAGCAGATGTGCACCAGGTACTCTGAGAGAGAACTCTATCAACATCAGAGCCCCGAGACTGTTCAACATGCTTCCACCACACATTAGGGGCATAACTGGCCGACCCCTCACAGTGTTCAAGAGAGAACTTGACAAACACTGCCAAAGGATACCTGATCAACCAGGCTGTGACTCATACGTCAGGCTGCGAGCAGCCACGTCCAACAGCCTGGTTGACCAGTCCAGCAACGAGGAAGCCTGGTCGATGACCGGGCTGCAGGGTCGCCGAGCCTCGAAATCACCTCAAGGTAGCTGACTCCAAGGGCGGTCAATCACCGAGCAGCAAAAGACACAGGGGAGATAGATCCCAAGGTGACTTGTAGAAGGCAGCCCCAAGGGCAATACTTACAGGGCACCTAGGAAAGGCGACCCTAGGCACATGCAGCCCGAGTACTTGTGAAAGTATTCCTGGCTCGCACACCACCACACCACAAGGAACAGAGCTGGAGGACAGGAAAACAGGAGCCAGAGACACACGACTTTTGCCAATCACATCAGCCAAAGAACGGGGGGCTGGGACTCCCCCTTCCCCCTCCCACGGAGGGGGAAAGTTGTGCAGACAGCGGCGCGGCGACATCATGCCTGTTTTTGTTTAGGATATTCTGTCCACTAGTTCAGTAGTAATGTTAACCAGAATAGGGGGTTTGTTTTGGGATGCTTACCTTTCTGGGTGCCTGACCTGGTCGATAGCAGACATAGAATGCTTCCAACCACACTGGGGTTTCTATAGGCCACTGCGCCTCATGCCTCTCTGAGGGGGGCCAGGTTCTGGCTCGTGGTCCCCAGTAGGCCTAAACTCCATGAACTACTGATGCCAAAGTCTAATAAATCCATATCAGCCTGGATAGTTCCGGGGAGCCGCAGGAGCTCCCCCTAGAAATGACAAGTTGGATAACAAGACTCTTTCAAACACCGAGAGGATGCAAAAGATCCTTTACTGCTAGAATTCACTCAATAAAATATCTAAATTAATCGGACTGTTAAATTTTTTAAATCTGTAGTCCCTAGAGTGCAGGCAGGAGGAATACACAATAATTTACACTGGAAAAATACTAGGACTGGTTCCAAATCTGCACCCAGAAATAACATCAAAAAGAGATCAGAAAGCATGGCAGGATGTACAAAATAGCTCTGTTGAAAAGCAGAGGTGTAATAGGTACTTTGAAAGAAAACTGTCAACATGAAGGGCCAGGACTTCAACACATTCCCCCTAAAAACAAAAGAGGCACAACTGGCTGACCTCTCAGTGTTTAAGAAGTGAGCTTCATACAAACTTTCAAAGGATAACTGATCAACCAGGCTGTGACTTTACCAAGGAATGACGATAAGAGACGGGGACTGTGATTACATATCAGCGACTAAGAGGAGTGAGCTCTAGCTCTTTATGCCCTGCCCTTTAACAAATTATACCTGATTTCAGAAAAAGAGGGAGAAGGGGGTAATTTTAGATTTCCATTGTGATGGGGGGTATTACAATGTGACCAGCATAGGTTTGAGTAATTTGAGGGGGTTTATGTGCTAACTACAGCAAAGAAGAATTTTTATTCAAAGATCAGCAACTCAGCAGCACCTATGAATAAATGGTACTAAATTTTAAAGAGCAATTTCAGATCACAAATACTTACATTCTAATCTGTAATGCTTACTTGAAACTGTTTGAAAGGTCCGTTTTCACATTCTTCAGATTCACCAGTTTCACGCTTTTTAGCAACAAAGAAACTGACAAATTTATTCTTCAGTAAATCTTTTTGTTTTTGTTTCTCATCTTCGGCTTGCTTCTTGGCCTCCTCTTTCTGCTTTTTCTCTTCTTCCTTGCGTTGCTGTTCTTCCTCCCTTTTCTGCCGTTTAGCACTACAAAAATAAAATAAAATAAAAAATTAAAAATCATATAAAAAATAAAAATGAAGGTTATATCAGTACCAATATTTTGAGCAATACTGGTTTATTAAATGACATGATACCATAAGAGAAATACTCTACATAATATTTTTGTCATATACCTTAACTGTACCACATGTACAAAACTAAGCATCAAATGTAATGAAACTCCTCTTTCTGGTAGAACCCCTAGAGACACTGTGAAATATCTCTCCGAGATTGATGCGACTATTAGACTGAAGAAGTCACCGGAATTCTGTTTGGCTTACCTCAGAGACCAAAACCAGAACCTGGCTCCTCATACGCATGCAGGACGTGAGTGACAATTCGCCACCCCATTGGAAAAAGCATCCAGAAAGTTAGCCAAGCATTACACATAACTACAAGCTACACATAAAACAGAGATGAAACCACCAAGTAACTCCACAAATTCAAATCGAACTTGAATCATACTAACTTAGTACTGTAAAAATCCATAAGGGCCATGACGAGGGTTCGAACTTACGTCTGAGAGGATCCCAGACATGCCTTAATTGACTGAGCTACGACATGGTCAAAAGAACTGCAACCGGGAAATCGGTCCTTGTGGATTTGTTCATTTGATGCATCATGCTATTGTGATTTCTGTGTGTAATGAAGTAAGGGCAAAGAGGTAGAATAGCTTATTGGCAGAGCTCGGGTGCATGTAAAAACCGGGTTTTTACACAACCCGGTTTGTGTCTCGGAGACTGCAGGATGGTCAAGTTGATTTCCCGGTTGCAATTCTTTTGACCATGTCCTAGCTCAGTCGATTAAGGTGCGTCTAGGATCCTTTCAGACGTAGGTTCGAACTCTCATCACGGCCCTTGTGGATTTGTTCATTTGATGCATCACGCTATTGTGATTTCCGCGAGTAATTAGTACTGTACTAACAAGACCCTACCTACAGTTGGCCTTCCTGCCTTGGCTATGGAGCTGATGAACAACCCCACTGATGAATCTAGAGGAGAGAGGAGAAGGGGGTGGGGGGGGGGGAATCTGGAAGCCACTGGTGTTCTATCAGAAAGAGGCATTTCATTACATTCAATGCTGGGTTTCTAGGAGTAGGCCTTGATGGTTCCCTTAAGTAAAATAACAATGGTGAAATAAAAAACAGGACTTATCAGGGAAGATGAGTGGTGGCAGGTAATTACGAAGAGACCCCTGGCTAGAAAACAAAGCAATACAATACCAACTGGGACCAAAAATATTAATATCAAGCCGCCAGCACCCTGTTAGACCGCAAAACCCTCGAGCCTGAATATCAGTCCAGGACATGTTTGCACCTGGAGTGGGTTCTGAGAGTTCTCCATTCCTGGCCTAGGGTAAGGTCTGACTTGTGTTAACTATTGGAGGGATTTATCAGGGAAAAGCGTCATGCCTTTACGATTATATAGCACTTGAAAGACATCAGAATATGGATTTGGGATGGGAATGGTTTCCAACCACTTGGATGGTCAGGGATTGAACGCTGACCTGCATGAAGCAAGACCGTCACTATCATCCAGCCCAAGTGGTTGGACATTTTGGAAAAGACCATCACCAATGCAGTGTACTTGTGAACATCACGGGACTGAGGATAGATTGCAGGGTGGCTAGACTTAATGACATTGCAGATAACCTGGGAAATGTGAACCTTGGAACAAGGGGCCAAGGAAACAGGATCAACCAACAATGTGTTAATAAAGGCAAAACTGGTGACCAGCAGGTAGCGGCAAATAGCAGCCATTGGACACAACAAATGATGCTGGACAAAACAATCATTAATCACCATAGGACCCCTCTGGAAGCTAGCCGACTCATTCTTTGCCAGGAAACGATAAGGCTGCAAACAAAACACCCACCAAGGCCATAAAAAATAGAACCCACACCTATGGAGGACATGAATCTGCCCCACCTGGCAGCTGGAGGCAAGAGCCAATACAAACACCACCTAGTAATTACCTAAGTGTAGTTACAGGATGAGAGCTATGCTAGTGGTGTTCCATCTGAAGGGGGACATCTCTGGCCAACAAGGAAACCATAAATCAAGATGAGAGAAACACCAAAACTGTTAAGAGACCAGGATGGCTTAGGAGCATGAACAGACCGGAGGTGAAAAATGCACAAGACGACCTGTGGAACAGCACCCAAGCAAATCTATGCCAAATGCAGGCAACAGCAACTCTGCCAATGCCAAATGAAAAGAGGTGACAGTACATTATTAACCAAGAGATGATGGTCGAGGAACAATCATTACAAAAAGCCAGCGTTGAATGTAATGAAGTGCCAATTTTTGGAATACCCGATGGCTCCTTAAAACGGCTGTCACTGATAGAGTACCACTACTTAGGACACATCAGCTGCAAAGTTCTATTGGCCTATTGGGAACGAGAGCCAGGATTTTGCCTCCTTCTAAACATGCACAGGGAGCACCGACATTTATAAAGCTATTTATGTCACTACCGGAAAAGCAACCAGAAATTCTGCGAGACAAAACAGACCACTTCTGACCTCACTAGACCCCAGCCTCTAAAACCACTAAAAGAGCACCCCCAACTATGTAAACAATCAAAATTTCTCCAAACTAGCCCAAACTCATTTGCCCAACCTCTTAACTCGTTTGGGGGAGGAGGGGGCAGCATGCAGTCAGCTGGTCACACCGCTCTCAGGTTTACGGCAGATGTAATAAACCTCCTAATGACCTGGACGCTGGACGACGGAGGGTGTCGGGAAGCCACCAGGACTCGCCCAGAAATTGGCATTTGATTACATTCAACCCTCATTTTCTGATAGGAGCCCCTTGTGACTCACTGAAGTTAACTACCCCACAGAGAAGGAAAACATATGGGTTCCCTCACTTACCAGGGAGGGAACACCACAGTCAGGATGAAGAAGACTCTTGGACTAAAGATGACAAAACCACACAGGTGCACCAGGACCCAGGCACATTAATAAGATACTGGGCCGCCAGAACCTTGTTCGTCCTCCAAAATCCCCGCTCCCAAATATCTGCCCAGGACATGGTCATGAACACAGCTGAGAAAGCGGCATACTTTCTAACATCATGGGCATGGAGATAGACCGCAGACTGGCTAGACTTAACACTGCAGACGATCTGAGAAAGACCATATAAACAAGCATGCACCCCAGTGCACCCCAAGCACAACCAATTAGAACACCCCCCCCCCCCCACTCCAAACAGGAGTCAAAAACTCATGAACAACTTAAGGCAAGGCATTCCACCCCAGTGGTACAGCCTCTCAGGGGCAAACTGCCAAACACACCAGAGAAGCAACTCTGGCAGTTATAGGTAGTTTGCAAGCACCAAGGGAAGAGGATCACGAGTGCATGAAACAAGATATGCAAAGCAATCCCATGTCTATTGTTACCCTAATAATTTGTTCAATTAATCCACAACCATTTCCAAACCAATATTTATTCAGGTTTTCTCAATTCTAAGCTTCTTATTAATCCATTATATTAATTAATCTGCAGAGCCATTATATAAAATTGCCACCCTAAACAAAAATTATTTGATATGCCATTCGTATGAAATGGTAGATCTGTATTCAGAAGTACTGAAAATATGCCCCCCCCCCCCCCCCCCCAAAAAAAAAAAAAAAATTTAACACACACAGATCACACTAACGTGATGCATCAAGTGAACAAATCCACAAGGGCCGTGACGAGGATTCGAACCTGCGTCCGGGAGCATCCCAGCCACTGCCTTAATCGACTGAGCTACGACAGGGTAAAAGGGTTGAAACCGAAGTTCTACTGAACTTAATGGATCCCGTAGCCTCTCCGAGGCACAAACCAGGCTTTTACACAACCCCCCCCCCCTGCACCTGAGCATCATCATATGATGATGTAAGGGCGAAGAGGGAGAACGGCCTGTTGACATAGCTCGGGTGCAGGGGGGGGGGGGGTGTAAAAGCCTAGTTTGTGCCTCGGAGAGGCTACGGGATCCAGTAAGTTCAGTAGAACTTCGGTTTCAACCCTTTTACCCTGTCGTAGCTCAGTCGATTAAGGCAGTGTCTGGGATGCTCCCAGACGCAGGGAGTCCTAGTCACAGCCCTTGTGGATTTGTTCAACATATTTAACCTTATTTTGACCTGGACAGCAGTCAACATTCCTTCTGACATTTATCAGCATTATGTTGTGATGGTAGCCATGCCAAAATTTCCATTGCATATGAAATATAAATAAATAAATAATACATTTAAAATATGTATGCTAAAGTAAAATTGATATCAAAATAAATATATAGTGAATATCTATCCAGGATCCAATTTTAATACAGATTATATTGTTAGTAGACATTTTGGGAGAAAAAGTTGGTGGCAGATTTGCATAATGACCAGTGTGAGCTAATATACAGAATAAGACAATAATCCCGACAAGATACTATACTTCAATGTGACTGCATTAAACATGTGGAATAAATAAGAACGAATAGGATGCCAACACAACAAGAAATAAGAGTTGGGAAGCCACTGTATTAGACATTTAAATGGTTAAATGGTTAAACTGACTGGGCCGAGAAGTTACAAGCCCTACTAGATAAATAGAGACTTGCATGGTAAGGTTGCCCTGTCATAATATAAAATCTGAATTTGTACTCCTGTATAAATTAGCCAACACATACAATACTCACTCCTTCATCTTCTCTCTTTCTTCTTTTAGCTTCAGTCTTTCTTCTTCCTTTTCTTTTTTTATTCGATCCTTTTCAGCTATTTCTTCCTGCTTCTTTTTTTCCCTCTCCAGTCGTTTCTTGTCTCTCTCATCTTTCTTCAACTGCCTTTCTGCTTCTCTCTCCTTTTGTTTTGGAGTTAACTTCCTTTGTTTTAAACAATTAGTTTTGGAATTGGGGGGCAAACACTTCGTATCCGTGCACAATACTTCTGAGCTAGAATCGGCGTCCTCTGTGACTTCCATATCTGAATCTTCATCATCATTTGTTTCATCCAATTTATCCACATCAAGTGTTTCACTTTGTTTTTCTTGTTCCGTTTTATTGTCTACATTCTCTAATACTTCAACAATTTTATTTCCCTGTTCCATTTCCCTTTCCTTACTTTCACCTTTAAAATTACTTTTTTCGATTACACCTCTTGGTGAACTTTTAACCGAGCTTAGGTAACAAGTTATTTTCTTGGCTTGCACTTTTTTAGCCACAGCTTTTCCATGGTTATCATTCCCAGATTTATCTCTATTTGGCCAGCCCTTTTCTTTTATTGTATTACATTTTTTATTTCCAGTCTCATTTTTTCCTCCTTTAATCGGATTTACCGTTGCTTCTTCAGTAATCTTTTCTTCGCCTGCTTTACAGCTTGCTCCATCACCTTCTTTCTCTATCACTTTCTTCACCTTGAGATTTGTGTCGACTTCCTCATCCTCCTCCTCTCTTATTTCCTCTGTTTCTATTTTCTCTGCTTCTTTGTCAAGCCCTTCTATTTCACAGTCTTCATTCGTCTCACTTTTTTCTTTTATGTTGTCTGTTACAGTTTCACTCACGTTATCATCCTCTTTACCTGTCTTGAGTGTAGAGTCCACACCAGCAGCCTCTTCCCTCTCTTGCTCCACACACTCTCCAACACACACTGCTTTTTCTTTTTTGCTCTCGTCCTCTTCTGTTTTCATTCTTGGTTTATTGTTTACTTCACTTTTGCTCTTTTCTTGTTTTTGTTTCATGACTGTGGGTTCCTTCTCATGTGACTTGCTTTTGCCTTGCTTTCCTACAGGCTTTTCTTCTTCATTGGCCATATCTTGCTTCTCTCTCTCCCCCACAGATTCCTCCTCTTCTTTGCTACTTTCTTGCTTTTCTCTCTCCCCCACAGATTCCTCCTTTTCTTTGTTAATTTCTTGCTTTTCTCTCTTTCCCTCACATTCCTCCTTTTCATCTGTATTTCTTGCATTCTTCACGTCACCTGTTTCCCGCAAAACGTTATCTTCCACCATTTTATTTGTATCATCCTTTAATGCCATTTTAGGTGCTCTCTCTTCTGGTTCATTGACTTCCTTTCCCTTACTAATTTCCAACTTCTCTGTTACCTCATGCTGCTTTTCTTCCTGCCTCACTAATTTCTCATTTTCTTCCTCAGTTTTATCAATATTCCCTGTCTCTATCTTGTGTTCCTCATGTTCTTCGCTCCTTTTTATTTCAATTCCTTTACCCATTGTTGGCTTTGCCTTTTCCATCTCATTCTTGGTAAACTGATCTTTTTCACACGTTTCTTCCTGATCTTTGTTTTCCTTTGGATTTTCAATATCCTTATTTTCTTTCAATTTTATTTCTTTAATTTCAGACTTTTTCAATTCACTCTTGTTTAGTTTCTTCACTCCAACTTTATTCACTTTCCTTTCTCTACCTTTCTTTCGCTGCTTTCCAAAAAAGTCAAACTTCACTTCTTTTTTCGTCTTTTCCAGCGAAACTGTTTTCTTCTTATCTTCCGCTAAATCTGTCCCCTTTTTACTAGACTTTACTACTATCTTTTTAGTTCCAGCATTAGACCTTTTTGTAACAGTCTTAGAGGCTAACATTTTTTCATCTTTACCTACAGTTTCTTCTTCTAAAATCTTTTCCTTTGTCTCATCTCTGGCCGGTTTCTTTACCTTTGCAATGCTTATCTCTGTTACTTCACTGTCCTTCAAAATATCAGGATTCTCCTCAGCACTCGTGTTGATCGCCGTTACTTCTTTACCGTCATTAATCTCGGTTTCTTTTGTCTCATATTTGGTTGTTTTCTTGGCTTCTTCCACCTTCTCAATACCTGTCTCTGCAAGTTCTTCATCCTTCAAAATATTAGGATTCTCCACACTCTTAATCACCTTCTCCTGCCCTTCTTTTCTGTCACTAATCTCAATTTCCTCACTTTCATGCAACGAGCCATTTTCATTCCCGCTTTTCTCACTCTTTGTTATTTCATTTGCCTCCTCATCCAGTGGATCCACGGTGGAAGTAGATATCTCAGCTTGCTGAGTAGGTTCCTTTCCAAGAAATGCAGACAGAAGCTTTCTGGTCTTCTCAATAGGTTTCTTTTTAGCTTTGGGAACTTCAACCTCATCATCCACACTGGAGCTGACTTCATCATCTGACGTCATCCGACAACTGAAAAAAAAAAAAAAATTATTCGAGTACCAAATATATGTATGCATGCAAAGCAAGATTTAATAACCTCTGATTTACCAGCCTAACAGTTCTAACAGCTGAATTTGAGATCAATAACTGGAGTCTTATTTACAGTCATTGACCTAGTCCCTTCCCAAATATAATTAACAAATTATTGACATTTTTAACACGTCCTGGTGTAGTGTACCTCTGGATATAATGAGTAGTGTATAGTCCCCATATTGGTCCTTAAATTAAGTGGATGCTGTAAGTGTTTATATTAAGGCTCCGATAGTACAGACAGGTCAATTCTCGAGTCACAATCAAGAATTCTGGGTTCAAATACTAGGCAGAACAGTAAACAGTTACTCAGGAGCTACTGAGCATGTGGGGTTGCATCCTGGGGAGGGTCAGTAATTAGACCCTAGGGGGTGGGGAGACCTTGATATAAGCCTAACGTGTACTGTGTATGGATAAACTCGCGCCCCATCCCCAACACAATAACTAATGGAAATGTCTGAATTATTATAATGAACACAGTACAGTCAAGTAATAGAAAACAGAGTGCCGGGATAAACTGTGCCCAAGACAAAATTTAAACAAGAATTTCCTAGTTTTAATATACAGTATGAAAAATCCAGCGTTGAATGTAATGAAACGCCATTCTCAGGGTGAGCCCTGGAGGCTCCTTTGAGTTATCGGACTGATATATGCTATATTAATCTGGAGCTTCCCTCAATGGTGTTCTGCCTACTGGGGACCACTAACCAGAACATGGCCCCCTCAAGAGAGGCACAGGGGGCAATGGCCCCAGGAAAAACCCTTTGTATTTGGGGGTATTCCATCTGCCAGCGAATGGTGTTAGCCACCCAGAAAGAAAGGCATCTCCAAAACAAACCCCACTTGGTAGGAAATTGCAAAAAACCCAAGACTGTGCAGAGAAAAAGAACTCCCCAAAAAGAAAGCAAAGGAAACAAACAAACGTCATTTACTGCCGCTGCTCAGCTTGTCTGGGTAGCTCACCCCCCACCCCAAGAAGGGAGAGGGGGAACCCCGGACCCGCATGCCTGCTGCCCACACCTCAGTTTGGAGGCTGAGCAATAAAAACAAAACGAAACCGCCGTCCGCAGGGAGGAAGGGTGCCAAGGAGCCTCCGTGGCTCACCCAGAAAATGGAGTTTTGTTACATTCAATGCTTTTTTTCTGTGGGGAGCCCCTTCAGCTCCTTGGAGCTACATAACTAAAGATAAGCAAAACATGAGACTTACCCAGGAGGCAGCAGCTCCACGTGCCTCAACTCGAAGACGAGACAACTAGCTGCAATCTGCGATCCAAGGCAACACATGATCGACTGGGACCAGGAACATTCACCAAATAACGGGCAGCCAGGACTCTGTTCGACCACTAAAACCGTCATCCCTGAATGTCAGCCCAAGACATGATCCCAAACACAGTGGCCAGTGCAGCAAATGTACGAACATCAATGGCACGAGGGTAGATTACAGGCTAACTAGGTTTCAGAACACTGCAGACGATCTGAGAGACCCGAGCCCTGGAACAGAGAACGAGGGAAATCGGATCAAACCAAAGCACATCCAAGGCAACAGAAGCCAAGGCGCAACCGGGTACAACACATGATCCACCCCCGGCCCTGACCAACCAAGCATCAATAACTCAAGGGCCCCTCCGGAAGCCCGCCGTCACTTTCTTCGCCAGAAAAGGAGACGGCTGCAACTGAACAAAATGTCCACCAGAAAGAGCAGAGACCTCTGTGCCGGAAGAGAGCATGAAGCACACCAACCGACCCCCAGAGGCCAATGCCAACAGAAACAAAGCCTTTTGAAAGCAATTATGAACCAAAGGGGGCCACCACAAACCAAGGAGAAGAAAGAAAAGAGAGCACCGGTCCGAGGACTAGGATGGCTCAGGCGGCGCACGAACAGGCAGTAGGTGAAATAAAGCACGAGAACTCTCATGAAATGGGAAAGAAGGGACATCCACCCCAAAACGCAAGCAGGAGTGGCTCCGCCAGCACTGCAAAAGAAGAGGCGACATTATTAGGCATAAAATGACAGTCCTGAGAGAGCCAAGAAAGAAAGGACAAGACAACCTGAACAGAAATAGAAGATAACCTACTAAGAGAGAGGAAAAGGCAAAATGAATGCCAAGAGACTCCATACTGTCGCCAAGATGAAGACCGCAGGTGGGACACCTTCAATGAAGCCACCTGATCACCAAACAAGAGGTGATACACCCGCGACAAAAGGACCAGACAAAGAGCAGAGGAGTAGAATGAACCAGCCATGTAAAGGACTGGCCAGAGCTGCTGGAAGAGGTGGAGCCGCGGAAATACCCCGGGTTTGGACACTAAGCAAGCAGCGCCTGAAACCAGGCTGGGCCGGCCACCACGGAGCCCACAAGGATGACTCTCCCGCAGGAAAACTCCAACCGAGCCAGAACCTGAAGCACCAGTTAGACCTGGAGGAAGAGATACAAGTAACCTCACCTCGACCTGCCCTGCCGAAGTGTCCACCGCGACAACACCGCAGTCGTGGAAGGGCCCCACATATATTGGGAGATGGCAGGACCACGCCGACACGAAGAAGTCCACCACCGGGGGCCTGTACATACGGTAGTGCCAACTGAAGGAGTTGGCGTTGACTGTACATTCTGTGGAGAGGTAAACAGCGAGAATCCACCAGAGAAGTCACCTGAAGTGGCCAGCCCCAAAGAGCTAAGAACCGAAGAGAACCTTTGCTGTTCAGACAAGGAACCACCAAAGCGTAGTCAGAATAGAGCCGGATCATAGAGCCCCGAGCAACCTGAACCCACTGTAGGGAAAGAGAAACGACTGCAAGCTCCTGCACTGTGCTGTGAGCCCGACAGAAGGACGGAGCCCAATACCCATGGCCAGCCTAGTGAGTACCGGTCAGAAAGCCCCAGCCGAGAGACGAGGAGGTCCGGGAACACATCAAGCGAGGGATTGGGAAGGCGCCAAGGCACTGAACCCTGAAAAACCTGAATAGGAATTCGGCAACACAGCAACTGATGCAAGGCCCACTGGGGTCGAACCCTGCAGTTGCGAGAAAGGCGGATGGGACATCCCCGAAGGAACCAGAACAGACGCTGAAGCCAGACCCAACCCGACAGGTAAACTAGCACAGTGATGTTCAGACTCCTGCACAACCGCTCGAGCAACCGCTGAGTGACCCGGGACCCCTTTAGGAACAGCTGGAGGTGGGACTGCAGCCACAGCAACACTACAGGAGGGAGACACATCGAAGGGGTTCAAGAGTCCCAAACGAGGCCCAGCCAGGCCCGAATCTGGGACGGAACCAGATGGGACTTCCTTCAGTTCACCAGGAATCTGAACCCGCCGAGCTGGAAAAGAATCACTTCTCTGGCGAGCAGACAAGTAGGCTGGCTGGGAACCCACACCAACCTGTCATCGAGGTAGGCCAACACCTAAACACCTAGCAGATGTAGATGGGCCATCATGAACCGGGTAAGACACGTGAAATCGTAAGGAGCCAGCCAAAGGGAAGGCAATGAAAACGAGAAGCATGCCACCCCACCACGAAACTTAACCAGTCCCTGAACCCCAGATGAATCGGTACGCAACAACACGTATCCCTCCCGGCCAGATACCATCCCTCCCAGCCCCAAAAGAACCCGGATCTGGGACAGAGAGGTCATCCGGAAGGACAGGCAAGGAATCCAGCAGTTCAGATGGGAGAAGTCCAAAATGAACCGAAGATCCGCACAGTCTCGTTTCGGCACTGGTACAAGCGGGAAACCCACTTGAGGGACCAGGTCGTTTCGACCACACCCAGGCTCACCTACTCCAAGATGACCCAACGGGGCGCAAGGGAAGAAGCTCGCCCCACCAGCCCCAAGCCTTTGAGGAGGAGAAGCAGCCACTCAACACCACCAAAGGCCAGAAAACACAACCCAAAACGCCTACAAATCGTGGGACCAAGCATGCGCAAACAGAGCCAGCCTCTCCCCCATCGCCCTCTTCGAGAAGCAGACCAGTGAGCACTGTGCCGACCAGACGATGACGGCCCTGGAGGAGGCACCAGCACCAAAGGCCCACATCGACTAGCAGAAGCTGGAGCCCTGGCACGACCACAAAACCCATCCAAGAGCAGTCTGAGCAGTCTGTAAGCCAGGAAGCCCAAGGAACCCCAGAACGCATCCAACATGGGAACGAGGGGCAAATGAACCTAGGGCACAGAACCTAAGCAGAGAGAAAACCCAAGACCGGGCAAAAAGACCAAAACCCAAATGTTCCCAGTGGAACAGACAGGGTAGGATGCCCCTAAGAAAAAAAAAAAAACAGACAGCAATGGGAGGAGGAAAAACTCCAGATTGGAGGCAAAAAAACACCCTCAAAACGTGAGGTCACACGCCTTGCAGTCACTGGTAAAACAAGCCGCAGCGCCGTCCTGGCGGCCAGCCAAGGAAGCGCCCATAGAAAAAAAAAAAAAAAAAAATGGCCACCAAAATAAAGATGTATCTGTCGTAGGAGAGCCAAAATCACACCAGCAAGTGGGAGAAAACCAAAGCAGATGGGAAGGAAAGACGAAAAAAAAAAAAAACCCAGAAGGTACATAGCTCAAGCAGGGGCAAATAGCCTCAGAACCGCTAGCAAGGTCCCTGCCCACAGCCCCAGGAACCCCCAGGGGCAGAACCACCCACCACCCTAGAAGAAAAAGCCAGCCCAATGGAAAGGCAACAAGAAGGAAAGGCCTCCTGGTAAGGCCCAGAAGCCACGGAGGGAAGAACACGCTCAAAGGCCTTTGTCCTCACAACGAATGGGGCAGCCCCCGGAGCCGTCGAGTCTCATCCCCAACTAAACCCCGCCCCGACTCTGAAACCCGCAGACATTAGGGAGCCGGCAGCAGGGAGGAGGCAGAGGAACCACATCAGCAGAGAAAGAACCCAGGGTGGAGGACTGAACCAAGGCCAAAGCGACTAACGACCCCAAGTCTGACCTAACCAAAACAGGGGCAGCCCCAGGGAGCACTCGAGTGGGCAACCAAACTAGCGCACTGCAATAACCAAAACCAACCAAGCAATGCGACAGCCGCTTGAACCGTAAAATGTAAAGTGGTATGTACTCAAGTGCCAGGAATGAGTACTGTACCTCAGAGGGAAGGGAAGCAGAAAAGCAATTTGAAAATGACACTGCAGTCAAAGCAAAGACTCAACCCAAATTGCTTCACAACCACATCAGGAGGAAAACAAAATTAAGGAACAGGTGATGAAATGAAGGATAAGACAGGACTCATTTACTGAGAACAACAGTAGTGTGTGAAAAGCTCAACAGGAGATTTCTAGAGGTCTTCACAAAAGAAGAAGCCCCTGAACTAAGGGAATGGAGCAAAATCAAATAACATTGAAGGACTTTTGGAATAACTAGCCTAATAATAAGTAAAACGCACTTGATGGAGCTAGACCCGACTACGCTGTGGGATTAGATATCACCATGCATACATAGAAAAGAAACAGAAACCTTGTGCCGGTCCCTTACTATGACATTTAACCTCACTGGAAATAGGAGAACTGCCAGAGTTGGAAGACAGTCAATGTAATGTCAATACTGTATATAAAAGGAGAAACAGATAGGAAGCATTAATCTACAGGCCTATCCCTTACTTTCATATAATGCAAGGTGATGGAAAAAGATCGCAAGGAAGCGACTTAGATCATCTGGAGAGAAGGAACAAACAGGTAAGAGTGATAGAGAACATTCAGAATCTTGTATATAATTTGTCAGATCAATTCTGGAGTATGCAGCACCAACACGGAGTCTTTATCCTGTTACACACACAATGAAGCTGGAGAAAGTTCTAGTACCAGAGCCGAGAGGTATAAGCTATGAGGAAAGATAGTTAGATGAAACACGGTGAGGTGATGAACCTCGCATCACTGGATGACAGAAGAGACAGGAGACATGATTACAACATGCAAAATACTGAGTGTAACAGACAGGGCAAACAAGGACAGACTATTTAGCAGGGATAATTCTTTATCGAGTAGTGCCCAATTAGATTACACTAAATAGGGAAGTGGAGGTGGCAGACCTCATATACAGCTTTAAATGCAGATACTGTATAACTGAGCCCAATAGGCTCTGGAACCTATACAATAGTTAATTAAGTCAAAAGGAGGAGATCCAAAAGCAGTACTCTTCCCTAAACAAATGCTGGTACAACTAGGCGAGTACCCACGCACTAGGAAAAGCTCACCCATCTCTGACCAGAACAAGGATCACTGAATATGACTTTAAAAAAGCAACAAAGCCTTGGCACCTATCTTAATCCAATCAGTCAATGAAGAATTCACTCAAAAAGTGCACAAAGAGCCTCTAGATGCCTCAAAGAGGGAGAGCCTCTAGATGCCTCAAAGAGGGAAAGCCTCTAGATGCCTCAAAGAGGGAGAGCCTCTAGATGCCTCAAAGAGGGAGAGCCTCTAGATGCCTCAAAGAGGGAGAGCCTCTAGATGCCTCAAAGAGGGAGAGCCTCTAGATGCCTCAAAGAGGGAGAGCCTCTAGATGCCTCAAAGAGGGAGAGCCTCTAGATGCCTCAAAGAGGGAGAGCCTCTAGATGCCTCAAAGAGGGAGAGCCTCTAGATGCCTCAAAGAGGGAGAGCCTCTAGATGCCTCAAAGAGGGAGAGCCTCTAGATGCCTCAAAGAGGGAGAGCCTCTAGATGCCTCAAAGAGGGAGAGCCTCTAGATGCCTCAAAGAGGGAGAGCCTCTAGATGCCTCAAAGAGGGAGAGCCTCTAGATGCCTCAAAGAGGGAGAGCCTCTAGATGCCTCAAAGAGGGAGAGCCTCTAGATGCCTCAAAGAGGGAGAGCCTCTAGATGCCTCAAAGAGGGAGAGCCTCTAGATGCCTCAAAGAGGGAGAGCCTCTAGATGCCTCAAAGAGGGAGAGCCTCTAGATGCCTCAAAGAGGGAGAGCCTCTAGATGCCTCAAAGAGGGAGAGCCTCTAGATGCCTCAAAGAGGGAGAGCCTCTAGATGCCTCAAAGAGGGAGAGCCTCTAGATGCCTCAAAGAGGGAGAGCCTCTAGATGCCTCAAAGAGGGAGAGCCTCTAGATGCCTCAAAGAGGGAGAGCCTCTAGATGCCTCAAAGAGGGAGAGCCTCTAGATGCCTCAAAGAGGGAGAGCCTCTAGATGCCTCAAAGAGGGAGAGCCTCTAGATGCCTCAAAGAGGGAGAGCCTCTAGATGCCTCAAAGAGGGAGAGCCTCTAGATGCCTCAAAGAGGGAGAGCCTCTAGATGCCTCAAAGAGGGAGAGCCTCTAGATGCCTCAAAGAGGGAGAGCCTCTAGATGCCTCAAAGAGGGAGAGCCTCTAGATGCCTCAAAGAGGGAGAGCCTCTAGATGCCTCAAAGAGGGAGAGCCTCTAGATGCCTCAAAGAGGGAGAGCCTCTAGATGCCCCAAAGAGGATAGCCTCTAGATGCCTCAAAAATCTCCAAGTGCCAATCAATCCAGTTACAAAATTATGATAAAGAAGGCAGGACAGGGCTCCAGCTCACAACACAACTTCACACAAGTCAGTATGGGCTCCATCTGAGTATGGGGCCCATATACTCTCATTTTCTTACAGCAAGGTAACTTGTGGTTATCTTGCATTGATTTTGGGGATCAACATCCCTGCGGCCCAGTCTCTGACCAGGCCGCCTGGTTGACAGGCTGTTAGATGATGCTGATCTAAGCCTGACATGAATCACAGCCTGGTTGATCAGGTAAGGTATAGGCTATGATAGCATTTAGCCTTGAAGCCTGTGATGTTGGTGGACATTTACTTTTTGGTACTACTGAAAAGCTTATTTAATTTTAATTGAGAGCAGTGTCCTTAATAATATAAAGATTTTTAATGATGGTTAAAAAATTTGGGATGCATATTAAATGGCAATTTCCTTGACAGCCAAGCATACACTTTGACATAGCTGTGATTGTTTTTAGTACAGTATTATAATTTCTTTTATAACAAAACATTTGAGAAAGTACTAAAATATATTACTTAGCAACAGCTTTATATTTCTAAATCCAGTAGCTGATAGACAGCAAAGACTCACAAGGAAACACTCCTGCAGCTCATGCATAAAATGAATACAATTCCTAAACATTCTGGAGATAATAGCATGAAAACATTACAGAAATGAGTTCCAAAAATAGTTCTGCATGAATGATTTTATACAGTACTACTATACAACCGATAAGTTTTACTGATACTATATTACTACAAGATAATGCAAATATGCACACATTTGTTTGTATATATGTGGCCATGTCCATGCATGAGAAGCATTAAACAAATATTTTAAATCTTACCCAAGTTTGCTTAATTTATCACTTTCATGACCATCTGACTTGGCTTTTGATGTAATTCTTGTCCTCTTCCTGTTCCTTTGGGTAGTCTCCTCTTTCTCCCTAGCAGCCTTGCCTTCATTAGGCTTCCTGCTTGGCTTGAGGGGCTTCTTATCAGATGAGGGTTTGCCTTTCTTGTTCTCGCTACGAGGTGTTTTGGGCGACTTCACTGGAATGTTAGAGTCTGAGAGTCTACGTTTTTTTTTATTGGTGGGGCTCTTTGTCTTCTGTGGCGTCTTTGAATCCAAGGGAGAAAATGGTAAACGTGCTGAAAACAAAGAATGTGAACTTTAAGAAAATATCAAGGAATGAATACATGTAAGTAGGAAATATGAACAAATATTTTTCCAGTAAAGAATCCTTTTAAAAATTTAGACAACCACTCAAACAAGATAAAACCAATGGCACACACTTACTCTGTATCAGTTGTTTTCTTAAGGGGCTTGGTGACAACTTCACCTCACCAACTGAAAATTTAAAAAGTTAACTTACTGATTATGCAAAACATATAAAGTACTGTATATCAATCCACAAGTCAAATCATAATACAGTAAATAACAAATTACTGTACAAGGGATTTTGTTCGACCCGTCAGCCCCTAGACAACCTCAAGATGGGGGGGGGGGGGGGAAGCCCTACATCCACTATAATGCATGCAAAGGCCTGTGGCTTACCTTACCAGGATAGTAGTAGTGTATATCTTCATAAATAACCCTGAAGCAAGCACATTTCAAGACACTAGCTAACGAGCTACACACAGCGTCCAGTTCTAAAGGGCAATGGACCGAAAGGAGCATCCCCCCCATTAGACAATGAACCCACAAGGAAATGGTTCAAATGGAGCAGGAGCACAGTGCTCAGATAAATCCTTCTCCTTAGGGTATACTACATGGCCGCAAACTCCTGCACCATACTGTGCACCCGGAGAAAAGGAACTGGCCAACGCCCATGGGTGGCCTGGTAAGTGCTGGTAAGCCCCAACCCAGAGCCAACATGTCCATAAAAACATCAAACGACAGCATAGGAATGCGCCAAGGAACTGAACACTGAACAGTTCAAAAAGGAAGCCAGCAATGCAGCAAGCAATAAAGGGCAATCAGAGCTAGAACCCAATGGTTGCCAGAAAAACCACAACAGCCCTCAAACCACACCCTGCCCAGCAGATAAACAATGCAGGTACAGTTCAAGCTCCTATACAACTGCTTGAGCAACCACCAAGTTATCCAGAGCTGCCTCAACATCAACAGGCTGCAGCCGGAACTAAGCCACAAGAGGAAGGAAAAGTAATGCCAATCGAGGCCCACACAAGGCCAAGCCAAGTCTGAACCTGGGACTACACCGATTGGAACTTCCTCCGGTTCACAAAGAATTTGAACCTAGCAAGCTGGAAAAGAACCAGATCCCTGGCTAACAGACATGCAGACTGACTGGGGGCCCCACACAAGCCAGTTGTGGAGGTAGGCCAGATCATGAACCTCCCAACAAATGAATACAAGTCACCATGACCCAAACAAGATGTTCAACCTGCAAAGAGCCTATAATCAAGCATACTCACTTAACCTGGCCCAGCATAATGCAGATATGCTTACTTGGCATCAAGTGCACAGACCATAACCGCTCCATAACCGTTGCACTAGTTGTACCTGTGCAACCCCAGGCAATAGTCCATGAGAATCATACATTAGCTATTGTCTACACTGCTAAGAAATGTTACTTCTGGGGTAGTGTATATATCAGAAACAGGTATTCCCAGATATGGGAATGAATCTGACTGGAGAAATGTGGCGAGTAATGTACCACAGGGGTCTATTTTGGGGTCAACTTTTTTGTCATATATATCAATGACAGAAATGAGAATATTACAAACCACATCATCAAATTTGTAGATGACACTAATATCTATGGTAAAGTGGGAAATTAAAATGATATTGAAGCCTTACAAAAAGAGATAAAAAAGCACTCTACAAATGGTCAGAAGACTGGCAAATGCTTTTTAATATTGAACAATGCAAGACTTTACTTGTGGGGTGGTTACCTCGGGTGAGGTAGACAGCGGTGATTGGGACATAACAATCCACATCACAACTACCAAATTAATAACATTACACTGCATACCTGAAGTATACCTGGAGAGGGTTTCAGGAGTTCCTCTACTCCCTCATAATCTACTATTCCTGGGGGTGGAAGCCTGGTCAAGGACCGGGCCACGGGGACACTGAAAGCCCCGAAATCATCTCAAGATAACCTCCCCAAGCCCAGCCTGGGGATAGGCTAAACTTCTGACAACTTTGTCCCGGCAATATTTCTAATGCTTCCTGGGAGGGTGTTGACCAGTTGTGGATCTTGGAGTCAAAATCCACCATTCCTTGCTGTTATCTTACCTTGGAGTAATTCTGGGGGGACAAGGTCCTTGTGGCCCAGTCTGTTATCACTAAAAGTTGCACAACAGGTAGGAGCAGCAGTAAAAAAGCATACCAAATCCTAGGAATAACCAAGCATACCTATGACTTTAAGGGAAAAGGTAGTGATTCAACTGTACAAGTCTGCCACTAGGATTATTCACTTGCCGACTAGGACTCCATAACTTGCTGACATGACCAATGTTTCTCTTCTGTCATGTTAGGCACTCCGATCATCCTATAACTTGCCGTTTTGTAATGTTAGGGACCCCAGTCGTCTTACAGCTGGGTCTTCCCAAAATAATTTTTCCTGCTTCTTCTCCCAAAGACTCAATCTTCTTGAATCAGCTCTCACACTTCTCAGCAAGAATGATGTGACGACAATCTGCTCCTCTATGTTCTCTTATCTCTGTCCCAAATTTTGTTCCCTTGTAATTATTTTATTTATAATTTGTGTTTACTCTCCCCTTCTCTGCTTGCTTTGTTTAGTTTTTCTTTCTCCTTTAAGGGAGTTGCTGTTAGCCGTTTTCATGTTTTCTTTTTACACTTGTACCTCAACCACCTATTTTTCTCTTATAACGGTTTCTCCCGCTTTCTTCCCCGTGTTTTACCTTGATAAAGCTCCAGGATCACCCACCCCATCCTCCCTTTCATTTGTGTGTAGGCTAGTTTGATTTCAGTCACTTTACTGTGGCATTCTGTGCACCTCCTCGTTATTTTGGTAAGGGTTATTTAAGGTAAAATGCAGAGATTAAACTTTGGATTAAGCCAAGTATGATTTTTTGCTTAAATTTGTCTTGGTTTAGTCAAGGCAGTTGGTGTGATGGGCTGGTGAACTTAACCATCCTCTATTATAGACCAATAGTCAGGCAATATTCTAATAGCCATGTCAAAAAAGGCATCCAAACTTTACCCTTGAATTACTTGGAATAATTACATACAAATATTAATTTTAATTTCTTTTACCTGTATAGTTAAATTATATTTAAAATCTGTCCCTACTAATACAGCTTTCTTCTAAGTCCCCCTCCCCGAGGCCCACGGCTGACAGTTGTCGTATCTTTAACTACAAAAGTTTGAAACGAAACCTACGGCACATACACTACTTATAATTAGATTTCAGTCCTTCACTTTTAAATTCAACTCATGATGTCACCTCTCAAGTTTTAAATCCTACCAGTGGATACTATAATGAAGTTTATATTAATAATCAACTAGTGAACAATAGTAGGCAAGTTGGGCGCGACCCTGTGGAACCCCTGAAGAGCCAGGTTCAACTCTTAGGATTTGTTTAGATAGGCCTCATTAAGCATACTCTCAGTCTGACAACAGAGAGTATGTGGTCTTACCAATCTCACACTCGGTATCCATTAGTTAGAATTGGTTTATCACAAAGTAAAGTCAACTTTTATGATGATGCAGCGTCAGACAGACCGTACACGCCGCCTCCTGCTGGCTGGCCAGTGTTGCCCTCGCTGCTCTCAACACGCTACACTAACCTTACCTTCAACTCTTATACGCTACACCTACGCTATACATACATGTCTATATTTTGTTATCGTTTCTATTCATGAGTTAATTTTTGTTTATATTTCTCTATAATCCAAAACAAAGATAAGATATATTAATTAGCGATTTATTAAATCCATGTAAAAATCAATATATGAGGGTTTATATACAGCTGTACTTGAAACAAATTGTTTAGACAAGGATAGCTTTGGATTGACAAATTACATTTATATCAGTAAACATAACCTTATGGCTGACATACAGCGATGCACGTATATTGGTTAGGTGGTGGGCTTAATTCCTGATGATGCTCGTATTTAAGTTATCGAGCCTGGGACTATCATTCAACATTAATCTGTGTTTAACCCTTGAACATATAACAATATTTACATATTTCTGCAATAGTTACCATTATTATTATTATTATTACTATTATTATTATTTCTATAATTCTTATTATAGGTTAATTTGGAAGATGGACAATATTTGCGCTAGAGTTAGCATCTGAATAGCGGCCTTAAGAGGGGTGGCGGCGGCACTGAGAGGCAACAATTTCCGCGGGAAGCTTCGCCATTGGTTCTTCCTCAGTGTTGTCAACACACACTAACCAATGACAACCTCAACACAGAGCGAGTCTTCTTTCACTAGGCCAAACATAACTTCCACCAATCATAACAAAACATGAAACAAATGTAAATTTATATTGGGTAAAAATGATTTAGTCGAGTTTATTTCCTAACTTCCGTAAAGTAAATTTGCTACAACAGCTGACATGGGTGAAGAGGCGTTGCCTTGAAGACGATGAAGTAGTGTATTGAATTAGAAACGTTTATTTGTGAAGAACCAGCCCGTGAGAGGACGAGACTCACGCTGCAGGTGCCTCAATTATGGAAGATGTAGAGGTTGAGCTCGCACTACTGGCAGACTTAGCTCATATTGAAATAGGTCGGCGTGAAAAGCGCCCTCTGTGTAACAGATGCAGGTAATAATAATATTTTATTTATGCTATACAAAGGATCGATTACCTACTAGGCTTAATGGCATTAGAATTGTGCTATAGTATGATTTTTAATATAACTTTACTATGACAAGTTGGCTTGTTTCATGCCACTTTGAGACTGGATGATATTGCAAAGTGCCGCTAACTTGAGAACCATTCAAACAATGAACCCTTACCTATGAACGTAACAAAAATTCAAACTCCACAGAACTAAGGGGCCCATGAATTATCTAAAACATGAAATAGCATTAAAACTATGATACTGCTGTGTCATACCTTGGAGCCGGT